TTCTTCATTGTGAGCCAGAAGATGACTTTTTGCTGCTGGTTATCAAAGTCGTCTTTTCCTCTTTTTCCCTTCCCCTTCCCTAATTAAATGGTGAATTGGCAAAAGACAAAAAGCGAGCATTAATTATACAATGTTAAAATTAAAACCACCATCGGCCTTGCTCCAAATTCCCAAAGTAAAAAGTATTTGTCAAAAAATTCTGACAAGTTTACTATATCGTAATAAAAAAGAGTAGTAAATTTAGAACTTAGAAATTTTGTTTAGACTTAACTTTTTGGGAACGTTGACGAAACTTTTCCACGGCTCCTCTTTTTATCTCGCCAGTTGCGGCTCCAGGATAAACACAATTACCACACCTCTCAATTTTGATATTGCGGGGCGAAGTCGAAACAGTTTGATACTCTTGATTACAAGAAAAACAGCGGAAAAAAATTTGGTGGAGAGAAAGGTGAATCTTTTTTTTCATATACTTATAATTATTGTTATAGTTTTTGCTGTGAACTCGTTTTTAAGAATTGTTAAATAAATATAAATTATGGCAGTTCCGTTTCGTAGAAAATCTCGTCGGCGAGTGCGATTAGGTCGTTCGGGGAGTAATTGACAATTTTTGCAAAAATTTAGTGGTCAACCGCTCCACCGGTGTGCTAATTGCCGGGGGATAAAATTACTTCATCGGGTTTGTCCGCATTGCTCATTTTATCGCCAGTTAAATTTTAGCGGGAAACCAACCAAGGAAAATAGCCAAGGGGACAGATAGGTTTTTTGGTTGGAAAGCACCAGATTTAGATAAGCAAATGGAATTTTTGGAAACATTAAAATTTTTTTCCAGTAAGTAATAAAAACTAGTTGCTTGGAGTTAAAAATTCACTTCATTCTGTCTAAAAAAAATATATTTTCCCTCTTTTCTATATTCAAAAAAAACTTCAAAATATTACAGAATACGAAACCGATACCAGCCTAATTTTGTCTAGTTTCCTAGTATTCAAGGAAGTTTTTTGAATAAGAAACTGACATTTTTTTTGCATAGCATAATTCTTTACACCAAGCCTTATGCTCGGATTTTAATTTCCTTAAAAATACTTAAAACATTAGTCATTTAAAAAAAACTTTACTCTGCCAAGTCTTCTTTTTGGTATTGTCGGTAACTAAAAAAAATTAAAGTGCTGCCTACTATTACCCCAAAAAGAGTGAAGAGGAAAGCGTTGTTTGCCAGATTATCTATGCCATCAGTGAGAGTTGCTCCTCCGGGGAGAAAACCACTAATTCGACAAATCACGAACCACAAAGATCCTGAGAAAGCAAAGGCAGATTTTCACAAGTTTTTTAATCATTTGCTACGCTGACGACTTCACGAACTAACCATTACATAAAAAGAAAGGGGAAAAAGCAAAATTAAGAGCGGCAATACGAAAGTAACTAGGCTACTAACCATTAAATAACTACCCCAGGAATAGTCATTAGTCAGAGTGCCTCAGTCTTTATTATTAACTTTAACTTCTCAAGAATGACGGGCTCCCCAAAAATAAAAGAAACTAAAAGGCACCACGACCGTGAAAAAATTGAAAAGCGCGGCTGAGGACCAAAAAGACAAAAATTTACTGAAAAATACTTGGCGGCGAGTAACCGGAGAAGTATAAGTTAAAATAATTTGTTCTTCCCCGTTATTTTTTGGCTCGACAAAAAGCCGGTCGAGCAACGGACAAAAGAACCAAAGGAGAAAGAGCCCACTTATATTTCACCAGCCGATTTCGCAACTGACTGTGCCAAAGTCAGCCAGATTAGTCGGGGGAGCTACGAACATACGCCGGAAAGCGGCAGGGAAAGGGGAAGGGAAAAAGAGGAAAAGACGACTTTGATAACCAGCAGCAAAAAGTCATCTTCTGGCTCACAATGAAGAA